ACGTGACTGTGTACCTATTAAATATTACATAAATTTGTAATGAGGTACTATACAAAATTTATGCCAAGTGTTGCTTTAAGACTATTTTAATAATTTAAGAAAATAATGGATAGAATTATGAATTCAATCAAATAGGTTCATACAGGGTGTACTCTTTTGAGATTCAACTATTAATAATTCACACTTATATTTACACATATTACTATTCAAACCACAACAATCATTATGAATAATTGAATCACAACCCAGTAATTAATTATTTATACTTCGATAAAATCAACACGTCTTATTAATTTACTTAATACTTTAAAAATAAATATATATATTCTATGATAATAATTAGTATTTATGTATCGCTTAACATTTTATTGCTTAGAAAAAAATTTAAAAAGCTTAGTTCAAGGTAGGAATTTAACCTCTGGGTTTTCTGGCGCCAACCACTTAATGAGATATAAAAACATTCACAGAAAAAAATTAAGTGAATTTAAAGAAATATATAGAAAATCCATTGAAAATAAGCATATAGAATATGTCTATATTTTCATGAAGTTATATTGAACATGTACAAAAATATTCATGTTCGGTTATCGTGTTAATACAATAAAGGTGCATTAAGAAGTTATCTTTTGTAGAGATCATTTTTTTCTGATTGATACCTAGACAATAGCCATATTAATATTAAAATATAAATTTATTATTTAAAAAAAGTTTGACCATGACTTATGAATTATTTTTCATCATACAGATGACATAAATATACACTTAATATTCCAATCAGAGATATTAAATTCTATTAACTCCAAGTTTCTTGAACAAATTAATATGCCAGTGAGCTTAGGGACAGAAAAATAATTGTGTTATTTTTAATGTACGTGTTCTGGTTGTTAAGTGGCGAAATGTAATAATTTAAAAAATATATACACTGATAATTGTGAGAGTACGGAGGCATACCGCTTTTGGGCATTAGTGTGATGTTTTTTGGCCGTGATAGTAGCGTGTCGACTAAAAAGTTAAACACGTGAAAGAATAACATAAACGCTCTGAAGTTTGAATATAATGCAAACAAAAATGAAATAAATAAATAATAATAAATCGGCCGAGACGACGACAGGAGGTCGAACAATATTTATGTATTAATTATTATTGTTATCCGGTCTGGCCCTCCACGACCAGGCCCGTTAACCTTGCAAGGACGGTCACCAACACGTAAACACACATATTTATAGGTGAACGGTTCGATTCACGTGAGTAATAATATGCTAAAATGTTTGATTCGAGTGGAATGTGTAGATAGTATTACACAAATAAACAATCTAAACTTTCGGGCATAGGTACATTCTTGAGTTATTTCTTGAGGAGGAGAACATTTTTTTTCACCCCCTACAAATTATATCTTTACTATATATTTATTTTTATCATAGGCTGATTTATCCCTCACATTCTCTTCATAAAAACGTCCATGTTCGGGCAGTTAGTCTTCCGTAGGTAACGAGTTTGAAAAACAAAATGAAGAGAGCCTTATCCACAAAAGTCTTGGTTAGATCCTCATTTTCTCTCCGCTTTAGAGTCCAATAACAGTGTATAATATGATGAAAGTATTTGAAAACTTCATGGCTTCCAAAAAGATTCACTTAAAGTGTTCAGAGAACAAGTGTTTTTGTGTAACTTGCATTGTAATATACGCAATCGTATAGGAATAACTCACACAAAATGACACGGGATTATATGGCGCCCCATAGACGGCGAATACAAAATTCCTCAAAAACCATTGCAAAATACACCGGACGTCCTTGTCCAGCTCTTAGCTAATACGTACTAATACTATATAGGACCTATATTATAGGTAATATTAAAGAATTAAAATTTTAAAACAAAAATCTATGTTAAAGTGCATCAGTTTAGTTTGAATTTTTAATAACTAAAACTCTAGTTTAATTATAGACAAACCATAAATATAAGCAACATATTTAAATATTAAATTGCTTTAAACAAATTTCAATTACAATTTAAAATAAAAAAAAAGTTAATTCGTATTAAAAATTTAAGTAACCTTCTAGTATAAATTAAATTAGTTATTTATGTCACGTCAAAACTAAATATTAATTAATCAAAATTATTAAATGTGGTCCATTAATGTGTGATTTTGTAAATATTAATTTCCAGTACCTATTATAGTTGTTCTAGTTTCTAAAGATTTTTATGTAACCAAATCCATGTTTCCAAATTTATAATAAGTTTATTAAGATTAGGATTTCGCATAAAATTATCACGTTATTGTATAACGAGCGTGATCAATACCGTAAGAATTACATTAATGGTGAAAAGTAATCAAGAAAAATCTTCTAAGTATGAGTTATATATAAATATAATTAAAATTTTTTGTGAAATAATAATCATTAGTTAAAATTGTTTGAAAAAATTATGTATTTAACAAGCTTTTTTTTTTAAGAAAATTAGGAAAAATGCACTTTTAATATAAAAACGAGAAATGTTTTTAAATAAAAATTACTACTTTGAATAATTGCATTTTCACATTATAATTATTATAATTACATTACATTGCAATAGTTACATTTATAACTATTGAAGTAAGAAAAATTTTTTACTATATTAGTTATATATAAAAGATTGGACGAAATTTGTAGTAAAAGTTATTATATTGACCATAAGGTCAATTATCATAATATAACATATTATTTATAATTATATATATAGTTGTACTAACACATCATAAAACTATACGGAAGCTAATGGCCGTAATATTCTTTAACTACTCAGCTGTTCATTCATTATTATCCACAAAATTTAATATCATATAAGATATAATTATGTGACTGACACGTGTGCTAAGTAATTTTATCTGTTGTCATAGATTTTACCCAATTTGGTTTCACTAAACCATACATAAATACGTATGGAAGCTCGTAGGTAGAGTATAAAGGAAAAAAACGGATGAAAGTTGAGATATTCAGTGTCAGCTGTTGGTAATTATATTTCGCCACAGTAATATACACGCCATACAATTGTAAAGCGAGAAATTCTATAATATTCACATGTCTAATAAAGTTCCAACAATTGTAAGCTTTGCTGTCTCCATCGTTCAAATAACACAATCTTGAAGGTGGAATTTTTAGTGAATACACATCCGCAAAATATTAATTATAATTTGTTCATTGATTAACATTTAAAATAATGAAAATTACATTAAATGAATATTATTACGGTACTTAAATGCGTGTGTTATGTTATCGACCGTTAAAGTCTTCAACGAATTAACGTAATTACTTTTTCACGGTTTTCATTAAAATCCCCCGCATCATTATACTTGATCAGATTTATTATTACTGTAACTATAATAATACATCTGGCGTGCTATTCACTAATTAGTAGAAATAATACTTTATTGTAGTCATTGCCAGATAAACGATCATATGGGATGTTCGGCAATGACACTTGCGACAACAAAACACTTTCTACAACCAAATAACGTGAAACATACCCCTTGGGCGACTTATTAATCTATTGGTTCGTTTAACTGTATAAAAAATTATATATATCAAGTACTACAATTATCGTTTCAATTTTAAAATCAAATATTTTGATTCTGCTATTACTTACTATAATATGAAAGTTTTCACAGTATATCAATAAAACCATCCCAATTTTATTATGTAAACAATATTTTTCTCTCTCGCCTTTATTTCAACTATTTGGGATCGACCACCTTCTACTTGACATGATATTCCACATCATTAGCAGTCCTCAAATCACTTCCAATTCTATCCAACCACCTTTTTTCGTTCGTCCTCTTCTTCCTTTAACGTTCATTTCCATAACCATTATTACAGCTTCCGATTTTTCTCTTCTCATAATATGATCTAACCATCTAAGCCTATTTCTCTTACCTTATCTGTGGTCGACGATAATCCTATGTTTCCATTTATATATTCATTTTTTATCCTATCTTCTCTCGTTACTCTATTCATCCATCTAAACATTCTCAACTTTACTATGCTCATTCTCTGCTCTACTTTTTTGACAACCACTCAACACTCTAACCCATAGTTGATCTCACTAGTCTCATAGAACTACCTTTACAACTCATTGATATTCTCTTAAACATACAACACTTCTCTCCACTTGATCAAACCGCCCTTAATTTTATGACTCACATCCTCGTAAATTTATAATTATTTATTTATTATGTTATAAACAGTATTTTTTGAGGTGAATATGAATTTTTAAAACAATACATAAATATGCATACATATATATATATTAAGGTGGTCATTATTTATACTTAGTGATTTATTTTTTAAACAAATTTGATGCCAAGTGATCGAAATTTGGTTCTATACAGAAAATATCAGTGAATTTTGAGCGTCGATGTTTTAATACATTATTAAAACATTCATTATTTTTTAAATTTTTACACTGAAATTGTAGTACTACAAAAATATACGTTATTACCTATTTTTTTATGCATAAGTTTTTAAAAAAAATTTCGTATTTGCAATATTTATAAACGTTAAACATTTAAGACCAAAAAATACTATGTATTCACGAAAAATTAAATTAAACAGTTTTTATTAGTTAAACGTTGAACAACCAATACTACAAAAAATTCGTAAAGCCCTTTTTCTTTAAATTATTATTTACTGCATTATTAATCTGTGGAATTTTTTCTATTTATAATAATTAAAAAGATACATACAAAAAATTTAATTCCTGCATCTTTTTGTCAATTTTCAACCCCTTTGAGGCACGTGAAGGGGTTAACCTAGGACGCTCAAAATTCACTAATATTTTCTATATAGAACAAAATTTTGATCACTTGATATCAACTTTTCAAACTTGTAAAATAAAAACTACCTTATATATTTATATATATATATATATATATATATATATATATATATATACGAATTATTTCAGGGAAATTCGACTCCTACTTCTAATATTTATTTAATATAAGTTGAATAGTAATTATTTTAACTCACATATGGTAGATTTTCAGTCTTTTGATTGAGCCTCAGATCTATAATAGAATTCCAGTTGTTCACCTGCGGTTTGCCATCATCGAGGAAATAGCGACTGTTCAACTGTGGGGATGGCGTATTAGATTTTACAGACACGGTTCCAGAAGAAGGAGATGCCTCGTCCACCAATGATCCTGTGCCCTCACCGCCACTACCACTGTTCGGATGTCGGCTATCGAAGCTACTACTACGGGTGCTAATAGAACCACTGTAAGCCGACGAATATCCAGAGTTATTACTACTACCACCACTGGTCCCGTGGTACTTGCAGCGAATACAGTGTCGGCAGCATCGTGCCCTGGGTATTCGCTCGGGATCTGGATATCTGTGTATGTCGTCGTAACCAGGCCACACTGGTCGAGGTATGCAATACTCGTGTATGTCGACGACTCCTTCTTTTATAGGTGACAACCACGGAGCCATCAACTTTTGACTGGATTTGTCTGAAGATGACCTTGACGAACAGGGAGGTGACCCATTTGACTTTGGGTACTGCATAGGAGGTGGAGACGATTTTTCCAGACTCGAGCTGTGATCCGATTGTGGTTGACTTTCGTAACCGGAACTGACACGACTTTTGTCCCAAGTTCCATGATGCTCGTCGTCCACATAAATTGGGTTTATTCTGTAAATAAGATTTTTGTTTATAAATGACTCTTTGTAATTTTATAACGTAAAATTAAGTTAAATACTAATCAAACTTATGGTGAATTATTTTTTTAATTTAATAATAGAGATAATATTCTTATTTTTTAGCAAACAAATACCCATCGGTAATATAACTTACACAATATTATGCATTTAACATTTTAACTCAAAAACAACATTTTTAATTTTACATAATTTTTCCTTGTTCCAGCTTAATTAACATGTATGCATTAATTAAATAAAATCATGTATTATCACTTATAATAAATTTATATATTGATTTAACATTTGACAGTAACAATATTTCAAAATATTGGTGGAAGCTTGAAAACGCCCATACTACATTAATAAATCAAAATATCTATTGCCTATAATTAAAATGCATAGATCAAACATGATCCAGTCAATGAGACTTAAACACATACAATTAAATTTTTTTACATTGTACCTATCCTGAAGTAAGTTATATAAACAATTTTACTTTTACTGGCTAATAAAAATTAATCATCTAGTAGATTTTATTTTACGTTAATAAATAATTCACCAACTCGTCAAAATAAAGATACTGATTACTGTTTTTAATTCAATTGTATAAAAATTGAAATAGCACAATAGGATCGAGTAAAAACGAAAGCGTAGACTTATTGTAAGAAGTGTCATAATTTTTATTTAAAGAAATTTGTTAAGTTCAAGATTGAATTAAAAGTTTACCTTGAAAAAATAAAGTATCGTAAAACATTAATGTACATGAAATTTAATGGAATTTTCGTAAGTATGCACACAGGGCGGTTTCTTTATCATCGACTACTAGATTTCTTCTATAATAATAAAAATAATAATAACAGGCCTTAAAAATATTTAATTAGTCAAAAATCAATTTTTTTTTCTCAATTATAATTTTAGGAAATACTTAGTGGTCAACAATAAATCTTTACTAGTTAGTTAAGCATCTTCATAATCTATACCTCCATGCAGTGAAAGGTTAAATGATTTTTAAAGATTTAAAATTCATTGAATTTGTTTTCATGTAATACTAAGATGCAAATTTATTAATTTTTAAGCAGATCATTACTGAGCAGTCAAACTACATTTGATAACAACACTTAGTTAACAAAAATAAAAATGCATTTTTCCTTAATATTTTAATTCAAAATCGAGAAAGCTATTAACACAGTAAATATTATTAAATAATCTTGTCTTACGATATAAAAAATTACATTTGGTATTCGTAGAGAGGTGATTTGAATTTGATGTTATTTACAATACATAAAATGATGAACAATATATAATTTAGATTAAACTAACTGGCAAAATTATAGAACTTGTACTAAACATAAAAATATTAATAAGCTATGCGCATGAAGTTTAAATAAAAGTTTATAATTTAATTACTCAGGTTTTTCAATAGAAAATCCTATGAAAATAGAGCTCAAAAATTTCTTTTTCAGATTCAGTTTCAACCAGTTGTTGCTGTACATCTTCTGATTCTGATATTTCTTTCTCTAATTCTCCTCATACATTACTTTGTTTTGTTAAAAATAAGTATAACAACAATGTCATAATAAAAAAAACCCAGCACTGGGGGGTCGCGGCACAGTTGTGACGTGGTATAGTTGGATCAAGTATAATGATATCTGACAGTGATTAAAATCACTATCAAAAATAAACGCTTCGATGCAAATCTTTAGATAGTGTTTAATTTTAAAAAAATTGGTGTTTTATTCCAAAAGCTACTTGAT